TTTTATGGTCTAATGAGGTCAAAAATGATGGTGCTATTTAATCATGTCATAATTTCATCAAATTATTACTTACAAAAAGACAAAAGTAATCAAAATTATTTCAGTTTGCTCTGATGTTTGATGTTTGTTTTCTATTATTGACTTAAGTTAATACCTAAGTTAATAAGTTAATATTTAAGCTAATACTTACTTGACATACCCACAGAGTTTAAGAAGTTTACATGGAGAGTTTAGTGGTAAGATCAGTGATGTAATGCAGGTAAACCTGGGACTGATGGATTACTGGTATTTGGATTCAGTCATCAGTTACACAACCTTTAACCCTGTTTAGCTTTGACACAGCCTGTGTGTGAAGGTCTCACATCATGTGGTATTAATCCTCAGACCCTGCGGTCCCTGCCAGCTGCTTCTGACACTGCTGATGGTTCACTTATGCAATGTGCCCAAGCAAACTTGTACAAAACGGAGCTGGAGAAACAAGAAACAAGAGGCATCTTATGAAACAGCAAGATTGTTCAAATAACGACTTTAGACGCGTTGTTATGGCTTTGAGAGGAGATGGTTCACACATACACTAAAGACTGAAGACAAAAACAAGCATATAAGAAAACCACTTCAAACACTGTATACAATGAGGAGAAATGTCAAGTATCTGTATCATCTAAAATTATCTAAATAAGATCATTTAAAACAACATTTAAAATGTCTGTGATTCTTGTCTGAGCAGGATGTTTGGTCTGGAGTGTCAAACTGCTGGTGGCTGAGGATTAATATGATGTGGGTCACGGCTACTGTGTCAACTCTGTGGGAGTGTTTGCAGTATGGATTTCATGGGTGGGTTGAAAAGAGCTTACAGACTGTCTGACAGTTATGTCAGGGGTCCATGGAGGATGGGGAAGCCCTCTGACACTTTAATTAACAGTATGACAGCGCGTAATCCTTCATCTGTGCAGGAGATGCAGAATCCAAACCAGTGCTAATACAGGGACTAAAATTATGGTGTGACACTGAAATTACAGACCGAAAATTAGGTAATAATTAACATGGAATTTGGTCACTAATGAAATTAAATTGCAAACAATAGTGTGGAAAAGGTGTTGGAACTTTTCCTTGAAAATAATTGCATGAATGGATGATTATCCAGTCAGTAATTGTTCCACATATTAAACATAATAGAAAATAACTAGACTGAATAAAGTCAGACATTTTCCCTGACAAACAAAAAACTACCAAGTCAACATAGATAACGTAGCTCCTGCATGGTGTGCATGAATTGCCAGTACAGTGTTGGTACATTAAATCCTTTATAATTATTGTTTGCATTTTGGGTTTCATTAAGTTCAAACAAGTTATATTAATAATATAAACAATAATTTTCACATACAGACATAATTTCACTGCGCACATAAACATGTGTTGCAATGCAATGTTAAAAAACTGTGATCACAGCAAGATCAAATTTCTAACGACACTTTTTGCCTACCATGAATATGTGCATACATTTTCTGTAAATAGCAACTGTGGCCAACTTGAGGTGAAGAAAAGCTCTGACGTTTTAAAACTCAACACAACACTCACGTACTGGATCTGTCTGCAGTGGCCCATATGGATTAGTCCCAATCCTATTGCAGGCTGTAAGCTGCCAGCTCATGTAGCCTCAGAGTGAAGAGCTGCAGCTTCATGTCAGAGCAAAGAACAAAGAGGCAAACAGGATCCTTTGGTCAGTACCTGACAGGTATCACCTGAGATATTCCAGGCTCTGCACCGAGGTTTCTGAGTACTCTGTCTCCAGTTGTTCTTCTTTTTGTGGCGGTGTTGCAGACCAGCTGCTGGAGTATGAGAGAGAATATATATATTTCTGATGTTAGAACATTCATAATTCAAGTCAGATAACTGGAGACATAAACACAGTCAACATGCTTCAACAACAGACACATGGCCTTGCTGATCAACTCTCTCCTTCTAGGAATTGTATTTTTAAACATATACACATGCTTGTGGTTGATTCCTGGATGTATGGGTTGCTATTTGGGGAACGATTTGGTATGCTTCATTGTCAGCAATAATAAGAGACAACAAAATACTTCTCAGAACTGTATCTTTGCACTTCAAACTGAAATGCCAACAATCGCTGGCCTGAGCTGTTGCCGGTCACTGCAGCAAATCTTTGCCATTCCCTGATACTGCAAATCTGTGTTTTAGATGAGCTCTATAGTGATATGTTTAATAATAAAATGTCAGCTTGTTTTTGCTGGAGCCTCTTAGAGACATCCAGTCTTCTTGGCACTATGGTTTGACAGTAATACTTGTGCTGCATTGTCCTAAAAGCATCTTAATTATTCTTACAGCTTGGATTTCAGACTGTACTCAAAACAGTAAGCGCTTTTAAACTTGCCAATTCAGTTTTGGCTTCCTGCAGAGAGATATCTTATCTTGGATAGGACACTTGAAGACAGAAAAAAGACCAGACAGTTTAAAGTATTACACCCTTCTGCAGTATAAAATGAGTATGCAAGGATTTATTTGTCCATGATTTCTAACATATTTACACGCAGAATTCCTTAAGCCAGACCATTGCTTGAAGTGAGTCATCTTTAATTATGTTGAAAATGAGGGCAAGAAAAAAAAGTATTTGGCAGAAATAGTAGCAGATTGAGTGACTCAAACTTGGGTTATTTGAATTATTAAAATTTGATTTCAATAAACCCATTACACCAGTCAGAATAGTTAATATGCTTGTGCAGCATTTCTGACAGAGAATAATCCAGCAGACATAGTTAGTTGTGCTTATTTACCCTTTCTGCTTTATTACAGGAGCACATTGCATTCACAAAAGAGAAAAAAAGACTTACTAAAAGGTTACGGTAGTTATCAGGTTATCAATGGTAATTTATCTTTAATTTATTTGCATTTTGGAAAATTAAGTATGCCAAATTAGCTATTAACAGCTCCCTTTTGCTCTGTAACATTGGATGTACTAAAAAACAATCACTGAAAAACATTCATTCTGAAGAAATCCTAAAAACCTGATGATTCTTGGGCTTTGAAGTTCTGAAGCGTTCTGGTGCAAATTAAAACACCAGAGCAGCAGAATATAAACCCGAAGAAACTAAATGTAGAGCTGATAAAGAGAATTAGGACACAAAGTAAGGTGCACAGTGCGATTTAGTCAAGATGATTACTGTACATGTGCTGTCTGTGACTTTGCAAACTCTAATCCTACTGCTACCTGGGTGAAAATAGACAGTGGAGGATCATTTTATTCCAGGTACCTGTAAAGACACAAATAGAACAAAGAACAAATAACCATAACATAGTTCACTAAAATATAATCTGGTGGCTTCCTGTTGTTTTATCATGCCCAACCACGTCTGCAGGAGAGACTTTATGTTGACGCCATGAAGTAACATCTCACACCCACCACAGTGAGCTAACTCCCTCTTTTCCTCTCAGTAACCAGCAGATGCAGCTGTTGCAGCTCTGCCGACAACTAACAACTGCATCGCAACCAGAGAACCACCTGGTTGCGACCGGTTGGTCTGTCTGACAGACGACTCGGCAGGCACACTGACAAACTGTAACACAATTAACACAAGAACAAATTAATCATCTTACATGGCAGTCTGTAAGCAGCTTACAGGTGTCTTGCACATGTAAAAGTGTTTTGTTTTGTTTTTTTACCCACAAGCCGTGCCAGTTAGAAAAAATATTTTTTTCAAGTAGCAGAAACAGTTTGTTTTGGGGTTCTCACTGATACTGGTCCATCCCAAGCAGATTACACTCGGTTTCATCTGCGGAGGTCTTGTCCATGAGATTTCTGCAAACAAATCACATACAGGTATTCATTCATTCATTCATTCATTCATTCATTCATTCATTCATTCATTCATTCATTCATTCATCCATTCATATTCACGCTAACTAATACTCTGCTAGTGATGGGATCGATTTTGTAGTGGCCAGTCATAGTTGGAGATGATACCTGAGGTTCAGCAGTTCAAACACACCCTTTGTCATCATTTCCCCATGACTTTGTCTCCTCTGTGTTCATCCACTGCCCCACTTCTCCCCCTTTCACGTCCCCGCTAATGAAGAGGCCGAAGGTTTTGGAGATGTTTGTTGTGTTTATGCCACATCGCACGAGGCACTGCGCCCTTTTGTCAGCTCACTGTTTAAAGGCTTGTGCAGCTAATTGGTGCAGTGACACGAATGCACATTGATATCTAGAGGCCACACACACACACACACTGGCACCAGCAAATAACACCAACAAAACTGTGACCAGAGGAGCTGCTAAATATTTCATTTAAGGATTGCATTGAATAGATTACATATCATTACTTTATCAGTGGTGGGGTTTATTCAACAAAGTATTATATTTAATTTTGAGTATTTCCAAATGATGCTACTTTAGACTTAAGCAAATATTGTATTTTTTACTCCACTACAATTATTCCACAGTTATGGTTACGAGTTGCACTGCAGATTAAGATTTCACATACAAAACCAACAATGAGTTTTTAGAACACAATGGATTGTTGTAAGCACTGGATAATAAATATATTAATTGAAATTAACTTCATGTTTGACATTAGGATTGTTCATCTTCTCTGTTGAACCTTCCTCTTTACTTGTGGAGAAAAAAAAGTATTCCTGCGAAAAAAAAAGCAGGTTTTTGGTTGCCGTGGCAACAACAGCTTTAGTTATCTTCCCTGCTTTCTATTTTCCGTCGCCCTCTGTCCTTGAAGACAGATATACTTTTACAGTTTTAGTGAAAAATATTACATTTTGACATTATAATATGCAAGTGTGGCAACTAAAAGAATGGTGGCCACACTTGTCAATAGTAGATTAAGGGCATTACTATGCACATATTATATTCATTGGCATTGGATGAAGCCAGAAAACAGTGAAAGATCAACGACATGTGTGTAGATATTTTCTGGTAATTGTGTTTTCTGTGTTAATAATAGAGAGGACACAGAGACATTATGTTCCATGGAAAATATGGACATTTATTGTGTTTATGGAATTGTTCATCTCTACTGAAGAAAGAGACAGGGTTGATCATTTTCCACTGAAGAGCAAAGTGAATTATAGACTTTCTCATAAAAATAAAATCTGATTTAGCTGTTAGACAAAATAGAAATCTATGCATGTCAAATCAGCAGCTTTGAGGAGAAGAGGTGAGACATGCAAGAAGAGCAACACAGCCCTGGGATATCACAATAACAGATATCAAACCCTCTTTCATGTTTACAAAATGTATAATATATTCCTTTAGATTTTTTTTTCTCTCTCTCTCTCTCTCTGTGTGGAAAGTACAAGCTGATACGTTATGAGAGGAAGAACTGGATAAGATAGATCCAGGGGAAAAAGAGAAGGCAGGGGTGAAGAGAAATAGAAAAGGATGAAGGAGAGTTGTTGGGAAGGCAGGGGCAAATAAAGTGCAATAGACAAGAAAAGGTGCTGGATTAGTTTTTTCCCAGGTCAAACCTGTAAATCATCAAGGGCTGCCTCCACTCCACAGTACACAGAGAGCAGATTCTCAGCTGCTTGATAAATAGTTGGAATACATGAGGGACAATAGTGGCAATAGGGGTAAAGGCAGAGGAAAGAGGGCTAGACAATTCCATATTTCGCCAGGTCGCTGAGCTCCATGTCACCAAAGGCTTCCCATGGGCAAATCACTGTGATGTCTGTGCCAAGACCCTCCATCCCGGGGATGTCGTCTCCGAATCTGAATGGAAGAGACAAAAAAGATCTGATGAGTACAGAGTGACAGATACAAAGAAGAGTTCTCTGCTGCAATGAGAGTGACGGGATAGTGTTTTAATAGCCAAACTGACAGCAGGGAAGAAAAGACTGTGTGTGTGTGTGTGCGTGCGTGTGTGTGTGTGTGATCTTAAATTCATCTCACCCCTTCTGGCCTGGTTTGGGTGCCTTGCTCTTGAAGGTGCGCATGGCCCTCTGCTTGAATTTGGGAGGTGCCTTCTTGTCGGCGGGAGCTGCAACGGCCACGTCTGCCATTTGGATTAGTTACTAAAAAAAGGAACAAAGTCTGTGAGTTCCCTGCAGCTCTCAGATCTTTAAAACCTTTCTGTTTCCCACTGCTTTGTGTTGAATTTTGTAATTTTGTAACTGCAAAAATTTCATCTTATTTCCATATTGTCTTGATTCATATTCACCCTCTTCTATCTTTTTATGTCTTAAGCGTTAGCTTCTTTTTTTTTAGCATTTTGAATTTCCTTGTTGTTGCAAGGTGCTATTCAGATAAACCCGCTTTGCCTTTGCAGATTCCTCTAGTACCATCAACCAATGGTCTCCCGTTCATAAGCTGTACAATCCCTCCCCACTGTGAACATATTACTCTCTAACTTGTATTTATCATCCTCTTCAGCAAGCTGATCAACAACCAGACCAGTCACCAAAGTACAAATGCACTAAGAATTGAAAAAAAGAAAACAAAGGAAAAGAGCCAGCCAGTGTTCAAAACTGCTCAGGGAACATCTGAATCCATCAGGCAAAAAGACCTGTGATCATTGTAAAGAAATAGCGGCTGGGCCTTGAACAGTACCAAGAAGAGCTGCAGCACAAAGGACTACTCAGTGCAAATCACACATCTCATTTCAGCTCCATTTCAGTCATGATACTCAAGAAGAAGAAAAAAAAAACCCTCTTAAGCCATTCCCCTGTCTCTCTTTCTCTTCTGTAAGGAAATTGTTGCAAAAGCAGCGAAGAATCTGAGGCAATACATGTTATCAAAGCAGTAAGAGCATTAACTCCCTGTACCAGAGCTGAGAAAATTGCAGTTTCATCTTACCTTTTGTTGGAGTCTCAAACGGTTTCTCTGATGCTGTCTGATGAGCTCGTCAGTTCCTCGCTTGTGGCATTCCTCTCACTGCCGGACCGTCCCTTTTTAAAGTCCTCCGAGCTGCTGCTAATCCCCTCAGTCTGTCATTCTTTTATGTGCCAACTCTGCTCTGTCCTCTTCTGTACCAGCTTAGCCACAAATAGGCAAGATAAAGGATAACGAGATATAAATACGAGGTCTATTTCAACTTAGATATGCCTGTCAGCGTGTGAATTGAAGTGAATTATAGAGGTGTCATGTCTTGGCAGCAGTGAGTGACATTAATTAGCATGACTATCAAGTTGAAGCCTTAAAAAAATCTGCTGACAGATTTTTTATTGTGTGTCTGTCTGTCTGTCACAGCCCATCACATCGGCATGTTACCCACACATACTGTAGCCCTCTGCAACATGAAAACTTCTATAACTGCAGTGAATCTGACATTTTTATTGCAGTGTTCATTTAGGTTTAGTCACAGAAATAATTGGTTTACTGTATATGTTACAAATAACTGCAGATGTAAAACAAAAGTCTTGGGTAATTAGGTCTCTTTTGCTTTATAAAATCTGTGAATCTACAAAAATAGTGGTAAAAGGCCTCCAACACAAGTTGGTAACAGTAGGCCTCAAAGAAGAAGAAGGTAAATGAGAGAAGAAGACACCTTTTATAATTGATAAGTACACGATGAATGTTCTCAGTTTTCTTGTAGCCTGTAGCGTCCCTACACTAGTACTACATTTAATAAAAGTCCACATTTGATGGTGTATGGAATATGTAGTTCTTAGGTCACTATTTTATATATACAGTTTATTTACTGCCATGAGAGAGTTGAAAACAGCACATAAGCCTCACAGCACTTCTAGTCACCATGACGCAGCCCTTATCGTTTTTTTTTTTTTTTTTTTACACGCACGTGAGCATTAAGACGTTCACTTGGCTTTGATGGCCTGTGTGTTCAAATGTTTGGGAGATCAGAGGACTGATGGCATGTGAGTGGCAGAAGCTTTAAGATACTAAAGACTTGGATATACTTTAGCCTGCTTTGTAAACAAACGTGACCTGATATAGACTGCACGAGGATCTTGAGCATGTGATATAAGAGCAGAGGGGCGCTGAGCTCCATTTAGATGATCAGTCACTTAGTGCCAAATAAAGAGCACTTAACCATTCAGCAGTTAATCCCTTGTCTCATGGCCTGTACTGAGGTTAAAGAGACTGAGACAGAAACTGACAGTTTAACTCAGAAATTATTAACGTCAGTGAAAAGAAGAGTCTAAGGGTGATAAAGCAGAGAGAATCCACACCATGATTTTGTTATTACAACCAATATTCACCTTGAATCTCTGCTATTTATATTTATTATTTATTTATTTTTTGCGAAATTACTGGTTTCAGAGTAAAGGATGAACGACCCAGTGTTTGTCTTTTGAAACTATGAACTAAATTTATTGTTATTTCAAAATAATATATCATCATATTATATCTTTAAAAATGCACTCCTTCAAACAAGAAGAGCGATATATTCAGACAAGAATCAGAAAAAAAGTAACTCATATTGTTCAGTAAATCCAATTGAGTTTTTCCCAGAGATGCTTCATTATGTAAGGTCTTCAACGTCTTCACATGGCATGACACATTATGAGCCCCCTCCTTAATCTCATAGAGCAGAGAGGCCAATTGGAGCACAGGGTTTAAAAAAAAAAGAGGACAGAAAATTATGGATGAGCATGTCAGAGGGATTAGCAGGGGGTGTATATAAGAAGACAGCAGGACACAGACCAGAAAGCCACAAACTGACCAGAGACCCAGCAGACAGAACCCAACTGTACTACTGCAAAAACAGGTAAGATCAAATTCTGACTTTTCACTCAGCTGCGAGTTTTGGCAAATTTTCAATCTGGATTAAGGGTAGAACATAAAAGAGAGTGCAGGAGAGTGCTGAGAAAGCATGACTTCAGCTGGATGCTGTAGGGTGCAGATATCATGGTAGATCTTTAAAAATGTTTTGTAGACAAATGTATCTGTACTTGGACGTGCTGTCCAAGCACGTCCAAGATCTTTAAGAAGCCAAATCACTGGCATTGTTTCCTGTGGCTTTTTCTCTACTCTCTATAAATGTATATATTTGTGCTTTTGCACTTTGCATCTTTGTTTTGTTTTTTTAAGTCTTATTATAAATAATTATTTACTTTTTACTTTATGGAGGGCCTGAGGTCCACAGTGGTCACTCCTATTATTCTACATTGTGTGGGACACAACAGGGAGGTTTATGCATTCAGTATTATGACATATGACATTTACAGTAACTTATACATCAGCAACTTGAAAAGCCTGATTTGATGACACATTATTACATTTGATTTAATGCAAAGTTTTAAGAGAAGAAATTACCTTTAAATGTAGTTATTTTAAACACCATGGTATTCATTTTCAGCTCAGCATGTGAATAAGACCAAGCAATGATGTCTTTTACAAATGTGTATTCATTTGTTTTAGGGGGTAAATTGAATATGCATGTATTAAGGGTATAAGTGTATTTTTTCTGAAATTTTTACATTTCAATTTTCAGTTTAGTCTAGTTCAGCGTAGGAAAATTTACATGGAGTACAACAAAAAGACATATCAGACAGAATTAAATTGTATATACATGCAATAGCAGAAAAGGCACAAGTGCTACAGCAATGAGTAAACAGGTATTTGGCACATCTCTAATTATACCTAGAGCTTGAACTCTAATGTGTATCATATTCAAAAGCATTGAGTTAAATTATACTAGCTATTCACATTTTATTTTCCATCTCTGAATGCTGAAACTGTTTTGATTCACACAATATAATTGACCAATTATAGACCAATTATATATAATTGGTCAATTATATATAAAAAAAATATATGACCAAGATTCTCCTGAGCCATCCTGGTTAAATGAAGATATAAAAAGGATTCAAATCAAATAAGAAAGAAGTGTCTCTATATTGTCATCAGTGTGTGTTAAAAAATAACACAGACAAAGACACATATTACACACACTGTGTTTCTGCACACAAGAAATGCTAACATTATTAGCTGTGGCTAATCAAAAGAATACAAACATACAGTAACTAAATTAGGAAATATAGAAAACAAATCCATCTGGATGTGAAATTTAAGAACTAACTGCTTGATTAAGACTTTGTAATATATGCCACAAAATGACATGACTTGTTAGCATGTTCAGAGTAACCATCAGTGTCGTCAGAGTACATTTCTGATAAGCTCTAGAGCACTGCTGAGCTTTCCTGTGAGATAACATAATCAACAGAGGTCAGAAATAGTTCAGATTAAAGCAAATTAGAAATAAGTTGTTCAGGGCAAAATCTCCTTACACTCAGAGTTTATTATTTACAGCATACAGTATGTGTGTTGGCTTCAGACTAACTGAGGAATTAGGTGAACTTATTTCTATTCTTGTCTCAAGATGTACAATCTGTAACTTGGCCAAAAGTAATCTTTAAAGCCAAGGTGTAAAAATAGACAAAGCTGTTTGTGTAACAGGGTCTTAAGAAGCAGTATGACAGCTTTAGAGCATAACTTGACTTAACCTGGGGGTGTTATATCATCCAAGGGTCTTATACATCAAGACTAACTCTTTGACTTTCAACTCTTTTGCTCTCAGTACATAAAAGATGGCAGACACAGCTGTTGCAGCTCCCGCCGACAAGAAGGCACCTCCCAAGTTCAAGCAGAGGGCCGCTCGCACCTTCAAGAGCAAGGCCCCTAAACCAGGCCAGAAGGGGTAAGGCAGACTTCGAGGTCACCAGTGGTGGAAAAAAACTAAGTACATCTATTCAAGCGTTTTTCCATTGTTGAATTGGCACCTTTAGTTAAGTAAAGGATATGAGTACTTCTTCCACCACTGAAAGTCACATATCAAATAAAGAACTCAAGTGCAACACTCACTGGAAACGGAGATGTTTGACTGACACGTTTCTGTTTCTTTCTCAGGTTCGGAGACGACATCCCCGGCATGGAGGGTCTTGGCACAGACATCACAGTGGTTTGCCCATGGGAAGCCTTTGGTGACATGGAGCTCAGCGACCTGGCGAAATACGGAATCGTCTAGAAACCCTCCTGTGTCTTTCCCAAAACTGTATCACCTCTCCTTCGCCCGATCTACCTCCTGCTCCTGTCGGCCCTGTTTTCCTTCCCCTCCCAAAATACCTGACCTGATGTCTGTCGTTGTGTTAGGCCCACATGGGTTTTGGGAAACACAGCTGATTCAAATAAATAGTAAAATTGGCTAAACTGATTTGAATGTGAAATATCATATTTATTTATTTATATACTGTATGCTTCACTGAGTTGTGAATGCTTCAAGCCCCAAACTTCCTCCCCCATAATTTGCACTTGGCTTGTGTGTCTCTGAGAGACAATGGACTAAAGCTGTTGAAAGCGGGTTTTGAAGACTGTTGTGACGATGTTGGTGCACTGCTAAACCCTCGCTCCTCTCTCCTGCCTTTTCTACTCCATCACCCCCACCCACTCTCTTTGGAGCTATTACTGCTTAATGTACAGCTGTTTATGAAAGATATATATTTTGAAATATATATTTTTATTTTTATGAACTATGAATGTAAATTTGTGTGCGGTCAATAGGAACTGGATAGAACAGTTGAATAGAACTGTCAATAAATCTTTTCCCCATAAAGAAATGTTGTCTTCTTTAAGCACGCCGTATAGATTTATGGGAATTTGATACCAGAATACAAGGTGTGGCTTTTAAGTAATGAGATTAATGCTGGTTCAATTTACATAAACCCAGTCTCGTTACTTAATAGCCACACCTCCTACATCATTACCAATATTAAAGCAATGTCAGCAGCGTGGCTCTAAGGACGGCAACATCAGTTAGTGAGTCCACAGCTTTGGTCCAGGCTGAAATATCTCAACAGTTAGTTGATGGATTGCCATGACATTTTGTACACACATTCATGGTCCTACTGAATTTGGTGATCCCTTGGGTTTTCCTCTAACGCCACCATGAGGTTGGAATTTGTGGTTTTAAATTGATTGAAATGTTTTGAGAACTACTGGATGGATTTCCATGATGTTCGTCACATTTTTGCCACCCCTCAAGATTAATTATACTGACTTTGATGACCCCTTCACTTTCCATATGGCATCATCACCAGGTTGAATTATTTATTTGTCCAACCACTTAAGTCAAGGATCAAATACTTCCAGTTTGGATTCAGCTGTAGCGATACTTTTTGTTTAAGGCTAATTATCAAATGTTATTTGGTGCTGAACAGAGAAGTTTGTCTTGAAGTGCTTTCTGTCTACAGTATCTTCTGCCAGAAAAGCTTTTTGGCAAAAGATAGTATTAAGATCTATAAAGTCTGCAGATTCTTGTGGTGGATGAATGGGTCAAATATTGGACTTTCACACAGGAGACTAGAGTTTGAGTTGTGCTTTAACTTATTTTTTCAGTTTTTTCTTTAGTTTTATTTTCAGTTTTCATACAGAGTTTGGTTAGTTTTAGGCACCAGAAGTACTTGGTTATATTGCCTTTCTGCCAGAAAGCCTTCGAGGCAAACTTGTTCCATGTGCTGCTGAGCATGGTAAACATTATGCCAAATAAATTATTTTTATTTTAAGTTTATTTTGAAGTTTTGATATCCATAAGAAGATATATTTGTAGTTTTCAATAGCAAAAACAATCTCAATGCAGTTTTACATCTCCTCTCTCAGGCTTCTCTCCGGAGCTCTAGCAACAAAAGGTTGTTTAGCCAATCAGAAAAGAGGAGGCTCTTCTGATCAGCTGACTATTTTCTGAGTGATCAAGTAAAAATATAGCAGATTTCAGGAAAACACTAAAAGAAACCAAATCCTGCAAGGTTAGATGGTGGGTCTGGGTGGTTGGGGTTGGGGCGTGGCTGAGAGCGTTGACTGCTTTGTCGTAATGTTAAAGTTACTGAAGTCCTGTAACGGCTCCTTTTATACAGTTTGTGAAAACGGGCTGTGTGTATTTCTCTGTGGACTCAGCGCTCTGATAATTAATGATTCACAGTATTAATATAGAAGCTAGACATGCTTTATAATCAAAAAAGACATGGAAATCCCACTTTATACAATATGGGTCTTTAACATTGTCAATGTGAGCATCTTAGCATGCAGCTCAAAATACTCACATAGCTGCTCACATGACTGTAGACTAGTCAGGACTATGAGTAATGTTAAAGGTGCAATATGAACGGTTTTAGCTTCTTTCAGCTCATTGTTTTTTCCAGCATGAAACTTTACTGTAGCAGGCAGCTGTTTTCAACAAAAAGCTCGGATAAACATGCTGTATACTAAACGCTTTGTGAGCCGCAAGCTGCATTAAATAACATATAGCTTCTATGGAGCCAGATATTTCTGGAGTTGGAAGAGACTAAAACATATCAAATGGATAGATAATATTGAACTTTTGAACTGCCGACATTTAGGCAACAAAATAATTTGCAGGGTAATGAGATCTCACATTCTGGCACTGTGTGTAAAATAATGTGAGAAACTACAAAATATGCTCACCAATTTTACTAAATAAATACAATAACAAAATAAAACAACCTGAAAGCTTGATCACAACAAAACATTTTTATATAAAACATTTTATATGGACATTCAATAACAAAAAAACATAATGGCAGTCAAGGGGGATATAGACATGACAGAGGGATAGGACTGGTCATTGAGAAACCATAGCAACTATGAAGAATGGCCACATAGTTTACTATAATACAGTGGCAAGAAAACCACGACAGGAAAATGATCTTTGTGCGGCAGCCATTTTGTTTGTCAGCAGGCTTTTTTGCCAAACAGCACTGTGCTCTTTGTTGAGTTAACTAGCGTCAAACTGCTAGCTGCCTGTCATTCTCCATGGAGTTTAGTGGTAAAGAAGAACACAAGTGGACTCGGCTGCTCAGGAGTCAAATATGAAAGACACAAGATTCATGCAAAACGTTTTTTTTTTTTTCTCTTTTTTTAAACTTGACAAGACTCGCTCATGCTGGTTTGTCCATGCCTTCAATGGCTCCAAAAGTCCATCTTTGTGTATTTTGTGTAGCACTTCTCAAGTTGGGAAACAGAACGTGCTTGGGGCTGTTAGTTAGCATCTTTGGCTAGGTTTTCTTTTTTTTTCTTTTTTTTTTTCCATTTTGTCCAGAGCACATTCTATATTAATATGGAGATATTGAAAAAGAAATGTTTAAATGTCATGAGCAAATCCAACAGCAGCAGCACATTCAATAGAAAAAAAGCATCGTATTGACCTGTGTGTTTTTCCAAGTGTGAGAAGTGGACTACACAACAGTAGCTTTGAAATTGATTGTTGGGTAAAAAAAAAAACTAAAACTTAGCATATCCCACAATGACATTTTGTTTTTTTTTACCATTTTGGAATATTAACCTGCGTATGTATGAGATATAACACTTTCAAACGTTTTACTGGATATCTTCAAATAAACCTGCAGCGACCACAGTGGCCAAGCTGACAGATTTCACCACTGAAATGTAAGGAGTCTGCATTAAACAAAAACTATTAAAATATATAAGAAAAACAGAAAAAGAAAAGAACGCAGTTGGTTTTAAGCAAAGTGCTACAGGCCTATGTTCATTCTATCCAAATGTCTCAGTCACTTGCAAAATATGGACGTAAAAAGAAAAAAAAAAATCCAGCCGTTCCTGCATATTTTGAAATACAATTAAATGTCATGCTGACAGATCCTATAATCAACCAAAAAACAAAACAAAAACACATAAAACTGACTGAATATTTAACTGAGAGGACAAAAGTTTGGTAGTGTTACATGCATACCTCTAGTTTGTCACTACTTGGATACGCTCTGGGCTCAAGACCTTGCACCTTAGTGAAGAAGGAATAACACAGATATAAAAAAAAAAACTGAAGATGAAAGAAGGTAAATAAAGACAGCAATATGATTATCAAGGATTATGATAACAATAACAAAGATTATATATTTATACATACGGCAGAAAAAATGTGCTTTCTACAAATCTTTGGAACAAAAACAAAAAGCCAAAAAAAGCCACGTTTTGGAAATACAACAGTATAGAAATATGCACAATAGTATGGTGTTTTGCATTTAAATATTTTCTATTAACTCACCGACAGAATCTCTCTCTTGCTCAGTAATTGCTGCTGGCAGCGTCGACAACACAATTACCAACTAAAGTATGTTTCAGGAAGACTCAGTCAATGTTGGACTTTGCTCTATAAAAGATGGAGCATGGAGGGGAAAATCCAAATAATAAGTCCCTACATTAAAGGATCAACAAATACTTGACCCCCAGGGTTGTGGAGGTTGGATCTAAATCTAAAAATCAAGTAAATGAGAAATGTTTTTCGTTGTAGTGTTACACTTTCTGTAGTGTTTAGTGGTGGCTGCACACAGAGTGTAGTGAAATCCTGTGCATGAGAAGGATGAAGTGAGACTATAGGCCTAGTTGTGTCATATAGTCAAAAGGTGGAGTATTAGTTTCATAGATGCTCATTTTCTGATTTCACGGTTTAATCTAAATGTCCCATTAACAGCAGTGGCTGCTGTGTAGCTGAGTCAAACAAAAATAATGGTTTAATAAGAATCATAATGAGAATAATTACAATAATAACAATAATAATAATAATAATAATAATAATAATTTGGTAACTTTTTTTTCTCTAAACTAATTTCTTTGCATATCATAACAATTTTAAGTTTAAAGGTTCACCATTTCCACATACTAAGAAAACTTGAGGTAAGGAACAGCTCTAATAACCCTCCCTCCTTCAGGTTTCGGACGTGATTTCTGTAGCGTTACAAGCCGCCATGTTCAATCTCCCTCTATCAGAACACAACAAGAATGGAAATCCTCTCTCATTACGATCCACCCACGTTGAAGAGGAGTTACAAAATCCTCCAGTGGATGTTTTATCATTTTTAGTGACTCGTCATTCTGGTTCAAAATGTTTTTAGATGCTCTTTTCGACGCACCTTCCTGCTTGCTACTGCTCCGATGTTTTGTGGACACCTCAATTTCTTGCTTCCCTCTCTTTTTTCCTTAAAATGTGTGTGCAGGCCACACAGCACTCAGCTCTTTCTCATACATGGTTGACAGCTGTTTAAATGTCAGTTATCCACACACAGCCTTTGGAAGAACATCTGGGCTCCATCCCGAGTCTTGTGCTGCTGAGTGCCGAGGGAATAAGAAGGGGGAGGGGAGGGGAGGGGGGGGGGGGGGGGACTATAATACAGCCGTGCAATAGGGAAGGTGGCCATTTTAAGTCTTTATTTTTTTCTTCTTTTTTAATGTAAAGGCCATCAGTCAGTCTTTAATACAGCATTCCTCTATTTCTGTAGTAGCGTATATAAGAAAACGTGGGACTGCTCTGGGGTGGGATCAGAAATTTCTTTGTTGTGGTTGACTCCACACTTTTAAACTGGGTGCAGTCCACCTCCACGACAAAAGAGGGAGCTCTTTTAGAGTAATTCAATGGAAGAGAGGAGCTCCTGGGAAATGTAGTGTCTTTAGTAAGGGGCAAATCTACTGTAGCCTCCCCTGTACAGCGTGGCCTGTAAAACAACAAACATTTAGTGTATTAAATCTTTCATTCATACATTCAAAATTACACTATTCATTAAAGGAGGAGGCTGGTTGTATTCTACAATTTCCTTATTGTTAATAAATCCCAGGAAAAGACCAAAACCAACAATGAACTGATCTCACAACCACTAAGTGCTGCTTGTGTAACCAAAGCCTGAAATGTCTCATTCTTTCATGCCATAGACATCCACTGCTGTCCAAAAACCATTATGTATTATGTTAATTCATTACTATGAACATGGACACAGGAGTTTATTTTGAGTCACTTTCACAGAAACCCTCCTGGTCATAGCCACATCGAGCTGCTAATGGCCCTGGGACAAAAATCAACCCAGAGTTCCTCCCACTAATTGTGCAATGTTGTTTTTTTTCTATGTGGGGACACTATGGTGTGATAATTTAGCAGACATTAATTTAGTTTTACACATAGATTTTGACACAAGGACACTCTTTGAGACCCACCTTCAGGCCCCGGTCATGTCAGGTGATATTTTGTTTTTATAGTGCATATTCCCAAACCAAATTTCAGTAAGTTATAACAAATCATTTGACTTGCAAAAAAGCCAGGTGCTGTGAAGAGCCGTCCCAGTGCTGTGTTTGTAATCCAGCCTTGGTCTTTGTGGTGTAAACACAAAAAGCACTGAATTCATAATAATTTGTGGCAAAAATATTTTCCAACAAATGTACTATTTACTCCTTTTTGAGGACACACACTACAGTAGCCAGCTGTTTTTTTTTTATTATTTTATTTTTATGATTTTTTTTATTATGTTTATTAATATATAGATTTATTTTTACTGAATTTGTTGACAATAAGAAAAATATAGAATAAAGCCAGACTTGTGCTTTAAATATTAGAAAACACATGGACTTACCATGGCTCCAACACCATAGGCAGCTGGGGCGAGTGCAGCATGGTAGGGGTCTGCCGTGTAAACTCGTCCGTAGCTGTCAGAAAACAGCCAATGTATCAAGCATTATATATCACGTGTAATTTAAAAGGAAAAATAAGTGATGCATTTCTGTCCAAAGTACAAAATAACTAATGTGCTAGAACCCCAGGAAGGATTAAGGTCATCTTAAAAACTCACTTCCTGGCCAATGCTTTGTTAAAAGGCACCGAAACGCCTCAAGGGGTGCAGGTGTTGGCCTGTCAGATCAGGCTCTAAGATGCACTGAACAGCCCACTCACCTGTCACTGTAAGCTGCTGCTGCAGCCGCTGCTGCTGCGGGGGTCGCTACCGCAGCCGGCTGGGCGTAACGATACGCTGCATAGCCACCCTGTGAGGGACCGATGAAGAGGAGAGAGGTGGAGGACAGACAGAGGGGAGAGGGCGTCGTGTGCAACAGAGGAGAGAGAGAGATACAATGAAAAGAGAGGTGGGAAGGGACAGAAAGAAGAGTAAATTCTTGTAAAAAAGTTTGCTGTATTTCCTCTGCAGACTAACAGACTAGAAGTGAATCTAAAGGGTTACATTGTGAGAAAGACTGCTGAGAAGAGAGCGGAAGATTAACAAGCAGACAGTCAGCAAAACTGGCTAATCTGGTGCAGTACAGCATTCACAAGGATGTAGCTCAGGCTCTGTGTGCGTCTCCCCCTCCATGGCTAACTGGGGGAAAAAAAATCTTTAATAGTGGTTTATGTATTTTACTGTTTTTATTGTCATTCATGTTCATTAAATGTTTCCCACTATGTGTTGGACATGGAGGGAGAGAGATTTCATACCCATAACTGTGCCCCACCCCACTTCCCCTACCAAAAACACACAGTTAAAGAAAGGGGAAGGGGCGGCAGGATGATTGTGTCATTATTTATGTTTGGATGGACAGCTGATGAACAGACACAAAAAAACTACAGGTGTAAGAAGACAGTCAGCCAGTCGGATTAAAAAAGAGAACACACACGCACACACACAAACGCACGCACGCGCGCACACACACACACACACACACACTCACACGGCCAGCGACCAATCACTGACAGACACAGCATGCTTTCCCAAAGTCAGAACGCACAGTGTATTAGGCCAAACATCCCTATAAAAAAATGCAAAAAAAACCAAACAAACAAACAAACAAACAAACAAAACAAAACAAACACACACCGCCGCATTCTACCCTAGAGAATCAGTCACGACCATGTCCCCGCATTCAGGACCACACAGTTGCTGCTATGGGAAGAAGGCTGGACTGGGGAGGTGGGGGGGCGGAAAGGGCGGGAGAGGAAAGGAGGAAGAGGAGGAACGTTGTGACTGAGATGAGAAGAAGATGATGTGATGACAAAGACAGAGGTGGAGATATGATGTGACAGAGAGCATAGGATAGAAGGAGAAGTTATAGATCAAAGCAAGAGGCGCCGTAAAGACTACAGAGAAGATTTCAGCCGGTGACTGAAGAGGGACAGATGACAGAATGAACAGAGTG